CATCCTTGGCTGTTTTCCACAAGTATGAACAGAGCAAAATTTAAAAAAATAATAATTTAGAGACTATACAGTAAGCATCTACTATTTTCAGGGACTGAAGTTATAAAAATAAATAGGGCATAATATGTAAGAATAACTTATACTATATGAATAGAATAGAAGAATTCATGACCTTATTGTAGTGCCAACAAGTGGAGAACATAATGCAAAAAGGATTGATAATGGTGCCTGCAAACAAATAGATATGACTACACGCTTCAGAGTGTAGTCGTGTGCCACATAATAACATTTTGGTCAAGGACAGACCGTGTATAATATGGTGGTCACACAGGATCAGTTCCAAATAACCTAGGTGTGTAGTAGGCTATACTATCTAGGTTCATGTAAATACACTCTATGATGTGCACACAATGACAAAATCGCCTAACGCGACACATTTCTCAGAACGTACCCACGTCGTTAAGCGACACATGGGTGTAATTACTTCTGATAGATACGGTGATATTTTATTTTTAAAAAATATTTTCAGATAGTTACTTAAATATCCACTTTAACTCTGATAAAATGTATGGACGTGGGAAAATAATTTTAACACTTGAGCTGGTCCTGAGCTGCATAGATGAGCAGAACCCAGAACCCACTTGGCAAGTGGCAGGGCCCCAACATGGTTCCCAAGATGAGATGTACTCTGTGGGCCGTATTTCATATAGCCCTGTTCGTTGTCATGGCTCCAATACACTTCTCTAGGGCTCCTGAGGCCCTTTCCATCCTGCTGCAGTAGCTCTTATGGAACCTGCTCAGCAGTACTGGCCACGTTTGGCATCCTTGGAGCCATCTTGCTCTCTGTTGCACTCACTGGTTGTTCCTCAAGGCCTACGTTATTTTGACATCATCATTTTCTGGTACCAGCCTTTCAGAGGAAGATCCTATAGCAGGTATTTGGGGACCCAAGTTTTCTTACTTTACCACATAGTCTTCTCCTTCTCAGCACTCAGGACTCAGGGGTTGGAGGGACTGAGAATTACTGGGAATGGTTGTGGGGAAGACAGAGTAGAGCCAGAACAGATTCACTCACAGCCTTATGATGTACTCTAAACCATTCCTCAACAATTTGGCCTTTCAGACTATAGGGATTTTCTACCCTGTGCCCATTTTTCTGAAATCTAGTAAGAATTATACCTTATTCCTGCTTGATTATTCAATATTTTAGCACAATCCTTGGCAATGTTTTTTGTAACAATAAATGAAGACTGACTCTTGGTTTCTATCGTATCTCTCTGGGTTTTTTTTTTTTTAATCTTTTCTACACATTTTTACCTCTAATTGCCTCTTAAATTTTGGTGTTCTCTAGAATTCCATACTTAACTTTCTTGTCTTCTTGCATCACCATCTTCCTATGTGATCTAATTCACACCTGTGATTTGAACTGCTACCTCTAAGCAACAGTTATCAAGTCTCTAACCAGAGCCTGTGTCTTTCCCAAAATCTAGACCTGTATATCGAATCTCCTATTGGACTTCTCGATTTATAGTTTCCACAATCATTTACACTCAGCATGGTTAAAGCTGAACCTGTAATACTCATCTCCATGTTTGTTCTTCCTCTTATCTGGTGAATGTCTTCCTGGTCATCTAAGCCTGGAAACTGAGAGACCTCTTGGCTGTCTTATCCACTATATCAACTTGTTCATCAAATTCATGTATTATAGATTCCATTTAAGTTCATTCTTTCATTCATTCATTTAATTATCTTATATGAATCAAATTATTACTGAATGCCACCATGTGTCATGTAATGCTCTAGGAGCTTGAGACACTGGAACAAAGTCCTCAAGGAGCTTATGCTTTATCGCCAGAGACAGATAAGAACTAAATAAACAAGCAAAAAAGACATAATTTCAGGTGTGTTTAATTCTAGGGAGAAATGTAAAGCAGGGAAACAGACAGATGACCACCAATGGCTAGTGAGGAGCTGGCTCCTGAAGGCTTTCTGAGAAATAAACCTTTAAGAAAATATGCAAAAGGATGAAATTCATAGACCCAGAGGGGAAAATCTTCAACAAGCAAAGAGAATTCTAAATTGGAACAAGGTTGGAATATTGAAGGAAGAGCAGAGTAATCTAATATAAGAATGTAAATGATTTTGGAGAGGTCAATCAAAGCCAGAATATGTAGGTATTATAGGATTTTAGATTTCACTTGGATGGAAAGCTATTAGATATTTTATAAAATGAGAATAACTAATCTGCTTCCTAAAATATTTTAACTCTAGTGTTATGCTGGTAAATATTTAACAGCTGGCTCTTGGTGAGGAGATGGACATTTGCTACTATCTCTGGTGTAAATACGCCCAGCATGGCCAAGTTCACCCGCTGATGTGACATCACTAAATGCAAAATGGAGAAGAGATGCACACAATTGCCTCTGTTGAGCGATAAGAATAAATGAATACTGTTTTCTGGTTTGTTCCACACCTCTTTGGGTATTTTTTGACTTCTCCCTTCAATTCTTTATTGTACCAACATGCCACAATATGCCACTGCTTGTTCCCCTTTATTCTCTCACCTAGGCCTGTGCTCTCCAAAATGGGAGCACCTGAAATGTGGCTAGCGCAACTAAGGAATTCAATATTTAATTTTAATTCTAATTATAAAAATGAAATTTGACTCTGATAGCGCAAAAATTTTGAGTATGTTTTGAAAAACTTGGGTATGTAAATCTTTTTCAACTGTTAAGTTTTATGAAATCTAAATGCAGATCAAGTATTCCCAATGAAAATTGAGTCTGAATTCAAATGTGTTGTAAGTGTAAAAGACAGACTGGATATCTAACACGGATCATGAACAAAAGAATGCAAAATATCTGATTATGTATCTTTTTAAAATTAATAACATGTTGAAATGATAATATTTTGGATCTATTGGGTTAGATAAAATCTACTTTTTTTAATTTATTTTTTAATTTATTTTCCTTTTTCTCCCCAAAGCACCCCGGTATACAGTTGCATATTCTTCGTTGTGGGTCCTTCTAGTTGTGGTATGTGGGACGCTGCCTCAGCATGGTTTGATGAGCGGTGCCATGTTCGCGTCTGGGATTTGAACCAACGAAACACTGGGCCGCCTGCAGTGGAGCACGTGAACTTAACCACTCGGCAACGGGGCCAGCCCAAGATAAAATCTGCTTTTAATATTCATTTCAATGGTTTCTTTTTACTTTTTTTTTTTGAGGAAGATTGGCCTTGAGCTAACGTCTGTTGTCAATCTTCCTCTTTTTACTTGAGGAAGATTGTTGCTGAGCTAACATCTGTGCCAATCTTCTTCTATTTTATGCAGGATGCCACCACAGCATGGTTTGACGATCAGAGCTAGGTCCTGGCCTGGATCTGAACCTGCAAACTCCTGACCGCTGAAGCTGAGTGTGGGAAGGCAATCACCACACCAACAGGCCAGCTCCCTCTTTTTGCTTTACTTTTAATGTGGCTACTAAAAATGAAATTAGATGTATAAGTTGCATATATTTCTATTAGATAGTGCTGATCTTGATTCTTGCTACTCAGTTTGTAATCCATAGGCCAGCAGCAGTAACATCACATGGGAGACTGTTAGACAAGCAGAATCTCAGGCTCTCGCTCAGATCTACTAAATACAACCTGAATTTTGCTAAGTTCCCCAAGTGATTTGTATGCGCATTACATATAGAGAAGTGAAGCATGGATCTAGAAAACTGTGTAAAGTTAGTCCTTTCAATCTATTCCCCTTCAGTTCTACCTTTCTCACTACTGTTTTCTTTAAAACTGTGTTCATCCTTATTTAAAAGCTCTAAAGGGTATGAGTTAATATTTACATAAAGTGCCAACTGCTTACTTTGCCGGGTACACAAGTGGCTCCTTGATATGAATTCTCCAACCCCTCTTCTGTATCCAATAACTTATACACAATCATTAATGAATTATTTGTTGTTCTCCAAACATATTCTGCTATTTTGTACTTCTCGTTTTTGCACAGGATTTTCCTCTGCCTTGAATATCTTTCTTCTTCATATGCTATGTGCCTGTATGCTCTCAGAACAATTTCAGAGATTTTAAACTGTTATTTGGTTTTTGAAAAATAATTTTCACAAGTGTGGCTGTTTTGCTGGGTTGCAGGTGGGTCCACAGAGCGCCTCACACTGCCCTTCTGGATGTGGATCTCCAACTCTGTATCTACGCTCATAATCTTGTTCTGATAGTTTTAAAAAGTAAAAGCGCCATTCCTGATGACCTGTTAAAATCCTATTTTTTGAATGCTGTTGTGGATACCTTGAACATTTTACTGGTTTTCTCGTTAATTATTAACTTGAATAAAGTCTTTGACACTATTTTTCTCTCTATATAAGAGCCGCAGGAGAGAACTACACTGTGACATTCTAATTCCTGTTCATCTAAACTTTCCTTGTGGAAAGTTTCCTGGTTCCCCCATACAAAATTAAACATTTTGTTGCAATTATCACAACCATTATAATTATCCATGGCCCTGTGTTTCTTCCAATGCGATGTGGTGTTAAAGACAACGCGTTAGTCACGTGCTTTATTTACTCATTTAATCCAAGTTCCCCAGTTGGCTTTGTGTTTTATCTATATTGCCATATTTGCCTTTTCTATGAATTGCCTAAAAAAGTTTTTAAAAGAGCTATAAACTAACAATGATAGATTCAACTGAGTTAGCACATATTCTCTCTGGGACGTAGTTTCTCATTGATAAAATGATGGAGGTGAGGTAGGTCAGAGGCCACAATCTGCCCACCTCTTTCTTAGCAAAATTTTTTTTTTAAAGATTTTATTTTTCCTTTTTCTCCCAAAGCCCCCCAGTACATAGTTGTGTATTTTTAGTTGTGGGCTCTTCTAGTTGTGGCATGTGGGACGCCCCCTCAGCATGGCCCAAGGAGTGGCACCATGGCCACTCCCAGGATTCAAAGCAGCGAAACCCTGGGCCGCCGAAGTGGAGCGTGTGAACTCAACCACTCGGCCACAGGGCTGGCCCCTCTTAGCACAATTTTGATAGATTGTGTGTGTGCTTTTCTTTTAAAAAAAATCTCCCATTATATTGTCTAAACAGAGACTGCTTTTTCTCTAAGATTGAGGAAAGAAAGAAAGATGGAGTTGCAAAAGAAAATATTTCCATTTCCAACACATGTGTATATGGAACAGGTGAGGCACTGAAAATGCGTGCATCAAAGAGGCAATACTCCTCTTTCAAATTGTGTGATTTTCCAAAATACGGTACAGGCTTGGGGGAAAATGCTAGTTCAATTCCTAGCTCTGTTGCTTACTTAGTGTGAGTTTGGGGTCACATTCTCAACCACTCAGGCTCAGTTTCCTCGTATGGACATTGGAATATTAACACACAGAAGAAAGAGATGAAATAAGAATTGGCATAAGCTCTCCACAAGGCAGGCTGCCTCTTGTAGAGACAGCTCGGGCAGCACGAGGCAGTCTGGAAACATGCGTAGAAATCCATCTTCTACTATTAAATGTATATGAGCCACTTTATAAATCTAAGAATTTCTATTTTATGTCTTAATAATATGAATACTGGTTCCACAGTATTATGCAGACAGTTTGTATAAGGCACAATTTAAATTTCATACATGTGACATTTTATTTACTGTAAAAAACAGAACATTTTTAATGTATTCCTGTTTTCTCCCTTTATTCAGCATGTAGTCATTTTTTCCCCAGTTACAGGAAGGTCCCACTCTGCCTAAAGCATTCTGTGAGGCATTAGCCCAGCTCACCACGTGCACGGCAAACACATGCAAGGAAAGCCATTTTTACTGAGCAGATCTGGTCCTGAGAAAGACAAACCCTTTTGGTTCTGTTTCAAGGCAGTTTAACCACCACGACGTAACAGCTGGAACTCCACTTTAGCCATCTCTCACACAAGTCTTTCTGGTAAGTTGTCCATTTCAAATTTTACATACAGGTTTTAAGCCATTTGGTTTTATTTTGAATTAATTATATTTGAGTCTTCATTAAAATTAAATTTATCAAGGCGTTCAACTTCATGGATGACTCTTTAAAGCCATCCATAAATCTAAAGCGTTATATACATATCGATGGGCTTAATAAATTGGGGTTACATTTGGGGGCTTTCTGCAGACTTAATAATTTTAAAGTTTGTTATGATTAAAATAATGTATAAAATAATTTGACATGTAATTAATGGCATAATATTTCTGAGATATCAATCGATGCCCTTTATTTCTCCAGTGGGCCTCCTTTTCGTTGGTCCTTTAGAAACAACTAATTGATCTGTGCTCATGCTCCCAGGGAGGGAGGGGACAGGTAGAAAAATAGCCGTCCAGAATTGCTGTATTTGGTTTTCAGAAGCTTAAGCTCTTTGTCCTATATGCAAAAGCTAACAGATACTTGGGCCAAGGCAGTCCTTCCTCTGAACGAGTGGCCTCAGGGGGTGTAAGAGAGCCAGCAGCGGAAGAGACTGACTACCACCACCAGCTTCTGTTCTCGGTGCTCGGGTGCAGGGGCCGCCAGGAAGCAGCGCCCGCGAGTTTCTTCTCAGGGGAGCAGTGCTCACTCAGCACTAGTTTTTGTGACGCAGGAATGAGCATCTCTTGAATCCCAATTTTTTAAATTTCTAGGAAAAGCTGAAAGTCCAGATTGTAAATATTGGCAACTAATTTAAATTTTTTCCTTACTAAAACTCTAAAAAAATACTTCAAAAGACTCACAATGAAGATATTTGGGTTTTTTTTCCCCCGTTGGCTGTGAATTTGCCACATTAATTTTCCTTTTGGAGAAACAGAGCCTAGGAGAGAAATAACCCTGAAAAATATTTTAAGGATAAATATTTTTCTATTTTATCAAATCCACTTTGTCCAGATAAGAAGAATCCGGAATTTGTGTGAAGAGAAACAGAGAGGAGGCAGTGAAAATGAAAAAGTACATGGGTTACCCCCACAAGAGGGCCGTGTGCAGTAAGGAGGTGAAAGCAGTCCAGAGAAGACACAGCTTGGGGATTCTGAAGTGCAGCCGCAGACAGCCTCTCACAGACTGCTGGGCCCTGTGCACACGCTGAAACCCTGGCTAGACTCCGGGGCCCTGAGTGTGGCACAGAGAGGGCAGGCAGGAAACACAGGGAGAAAGAGTCTTGGTGAAGAGCGGCGGGCCACGTGCGAAAGATGCTCTTCCGCAGAAAGCTTGAACGTTCCACGGCCCTCCCTTCCTCAGCTCCTCTATGCCCTTTGTCTTATACGTATCCTCCACAAGTTTTCCTGAGGAGACTAAAGTAAAAGTTTCCTAGCAGTTCAGCAGGACTAGGGCTCAAAGTAAGGAGAATCAGTTCTAGGAAGCAAAGCTGTCCCTCTGTACAGCAGAATGCAAACTCCTTACCCCTGAGGTAAGGCTGTGCCTTGGTTGGTTTCACAGACTGGGGTGCTTCTCTCTCTCTTCCTACATATAGAACCACTCTGGTTGATTGATTTATCCTAAGGATTCATATGTGCATTCATGATAAACTGGAAGGTACATACATGGAGATAAAGGTCAGTCTTTTGTAATAATAATAAAATAAACCTACTAAGTGCAAATTGAGAAACAAAAGGTTTGTTATGGGATTTGAACAAATTGAGAAAAATTAACACAAGAAAACTTCTTATGGAAAACCACATGCCGAGTTATAAAGAGGACCTGGAAGCCACAAAAAAGAAAAAGCAACGGAACATGAAAAAGAAACAAGGCACTGACAAATAGAAATGGCAAGCAATAGGATATATTGGAGAATATGAGGAAGCCATTTGGTGTAAACCTAATTTGGCCTGATCTTGTTTCTCCAAAAGGGCCTCACCATGGCCATTGAGCAAGCATTGTATATCTGCTTTAGACATTCCCTACGGCAAGAACAAAGGCCCTTGAGATAAAGGTGCAACTTCCCTCCCCCTCCCAATGCTGGCATTTCCTTAAGGATTAAGCATCTTTCTTTAGGCTAGAAACTGATTGCTGCGCTCACCTGTGACCACCCAGCTGGAGACAATAGACTTGCCTCCTGCTGAGCCCACCCCACCAAGATAGCAGACCCACTACCTGCTGTGTCCATCAAGCACTGTGCCAACAGGGCAATCTTGTGACTATTGTAAGAGGGACATTTCAATCGTATGTGAAACATCCTCTTTGAGGGTATATAACCGCCCTGTACACCCCTCGCTTCTTTGGAGTGCTCCATTCCTTTGTGGAAGGACTCTCCCGGGCCATGGTCCTCACATTCTAGCTCAGAATAAACTCTTCCAAATTTTCATTTATAGATCGGTTATGGATTTTTCTCGTCAACAGCACAAACGCAGAAGGCTGACGACTGCTGGTTTCTGGCTGTCTGCTCACAAAGGCAGTTTGATGGTGCGCTGAGCACTGGTAGATTCCTTGTATATCTCCACAGGTATGCTCTAGTTTTTAGGAATTATTTTTATGATCTGCCCAAGCTCTCTTATATCAGTTGCAAGAAACCTCTTGTTTTGCAGTGGTACTTAGATGGTTTGGGTGGGTAGCCTCAGTACATAATAATCAGTTAGACAAGTACTTGATGACATGGATCTGTGAGCACTGTGCTGGATGCCTCAGAGTCATCAGCTCTAACACCTGGGGCCTGCCCACAGGAAATGTGCTTCTGGTTTTTCAGTCATAACTAATATATATGTATTCTCTACTGTGAAACCACAAACACTACAGTAGGATGATGTATCTTACATGACTGGTGTGAAACTTAAGAATTATGGGCATGGCTGGGGTGGTCAAATTTTATCATGATACATAGAAGTGAAGAAGTTATGTGATTTTTCTTTTCCTCTGTTCAGTTTTCTCAACATGGTTCATTGGTTTACATTGGTTTATGAGGCTTCTTCATTATATAATATTTTTGTATACATACATTCTGTTTAAGGGAAATCTATTGTCTTTCATTGATCATTTCTGTTTGCATCAATTCCATGTTATTTAAATGGTTTCTGCTCTAATTTTTTTATTGAGGTTATGATAGTGTACACCATTATGAAACTTCAGTTGTACATTATTATTTGTCAGTCACCATATGTGCCTCTTCACCCTTTGTGCCCACTCCACACTCCCCTTCCCCTGGTAATCACTAAATAATTCTTTTTGCCCATGTGTTTGTTTATCTTCCACGTATGAGTGACATCATACAGTGTTTGTCTTTCTCTATCTGGCTTAGTTTGATTAACATCATACCCTCGATGTCCATCACTGTTGTGAAAAATGGGATAATTTTGTCATTTTTTATGGCTCAGTATTATTCCATTGTGTATATACACCATATCTTCTTTGTCCAGTCATCAGTCAATGGGCATTTATGTTGCTTTCATGTCTTGCCTATTGTGAATAATGCTGCAATGAACATAGGGGTGCATAAGTCTCTTTGAATTGCTGATTTCAGGTTCTTTGGATAAATACCCAGTACTGGAATAGCTGGGTCATATGGTATTTCTATTTTTAGTTTTTTGAGAAATCCCCATACTGTTTTCCACAGAGGCTGCACCAGCTTGCATTCCCACCAGTGTATGAGGGTTCCCTATTCTCCAAAACCTCTTCTACCTGTGTTATTTTTTGTCTTGGTTATGATAGCCATTCTTACCAGTGTAAGGTGATATCTTAGTTTAGTTTTGATTTGCATTTCCCTGATAATCAGTGATATTGAGCATCTTTTTATGTGTCTACTGGCCATCTGTATATCTTCTTTGGAGAAATGTCTGTTCATGTTCTCTGCTCATTTTTTGATCAGGTTGTTTGGTTTTTTGTTGTTGAGTTGTGTGAGTTCTTTATATATTATGGAGATTAACCCCTTGTCGGATATATGATTTGCAGATGTTTTCTTCAAGTTGGGGGGTTGTCTTTTCACTTCAATCCTGGTTTCCCTTGCCTTGTAGAAGCTCTTTAGTCTGATGAAGTCTCACTTGTTTATTTTTTCTTTTGTTTCCCTTGTCTAAGAAGACATGGTGTTCGAAAAAAATCCTTTTAAAACTGATGTCAAAGAATGTACTCCTTATATTTTATTCTAGAAGTTTTATGGTTTCAGGTATTACCTTCAAGTCTTTGATCCATTTTGAGTTTATTTTTGTGAATGGCATAAGAGAATGGTCTACTTTCATTCTTTTGCATGTGGCTCTCCAGTTTTCCCAACACCATTTATTGAAGAGACTTTCCTTTCTCCATTACGTTTTCTTAGCTCCTTTGTTGATGTGCAGTTTTATTTCTTGGATTTCAGTTCTGTTCCACTGATCTGTCTGTCTGTTTTTGTACCAGTACCATGCTGTTTTGATTACTATAGCTTTGTGGTACATTTTGAAGTTACGGATTGTGATGCCTCTATCTTTGTTCTTTTTTTCTCGGGTTTGCTTTAGCCTTTCAGGGTCTTTTCTTGATGCATAAGAATTTTAGGATTCTTTGTTCTATTTCTGAGAAGAATGTCACTGGGATTCTGATTGGGATTGCATTGAATCTGTAGATTGCTTTAGGTAGTATTGACATTTTAACTATGTTTATTCTTCCAATCCATGTGCATGGAATGTCTTTCTATCTCTTTATGCCATCATCAGTTCCTTTCAATAAAGTCTATTAGTTTTCATTGTATAGGTCTTTCACTTCCTTGGTTAAATTTATTCCAAGATATCTTATTCTTTTTGTAGTGATTGTGAATAGGATTGTGTTCTTGAGTCCTCTGTTAGTTCATCATTAAAGTATAGTGATGCAACTGATTTTTGTAAGTTGACTTTGTACTCTGCAACTTCACTGTAATTGTTGATTATTTCTAATAGCTTTCTGATAGATGTTTTAGGGTTTTCTATACGTAAAATCATGTCATCTGCAAACAGCGAGAGTTTTACTTCTTCATTGCTCATTTGTATTTCTTTTACTTCTTTTTCTTGCCTAATTGCTCTGGCCAAAACCTCTAGTACAATGTTGAATGAGAGTGGTGAGAGTGGGCACCTTTGTCTTGTTCCTGTTCTCAGAGGGATGGCTTTCAGTTTTTCCCCATTGAGTATGATGTTGGCAGTGGGTTTGTCATATCTGGCCTTTATTATGTTGAGGTACTTTCCTTCTATACCAAACTTACTGAGAGTTTTTGCCATAAATGGATGTTAGATCTTGTCAAATGCTTTCTCTGCATCTATGGAGATTATCATGTGGTTTTCTTCCTCATTTTGTTAATGTGGTATATCATATTGATTGATTGGTGGATGTTGAACCATCCCTGTGTCCCTGGTGTAAATCTCACTTGATCATGATGTACAATCTTTTTGATGTATTACTGTATTCGGGTTGCCAATATTTTGTTGAGGATTTTTGCATCTATGTTCATCAGTGATATTGGCCTTTAGTTTTCCTTCTTTGTGTTGTCCTTGTCTGGCTTTGGAATCAGGGTGATGTTGGCCTCGCAGGATGTGTTAAGAAGTGTTCCATCTTCCTCAACTTTCTGGAATAGTTTGAGAAGGACAAGTATTAAATCTTCTGTGAATGTTTGGTAGAATTCTCCAGAGAAGGCATCTTGTCCTGGACTTTTATTTTGGGGACAATTTTTGATTACTGTTTCAATCTCTTGTGATTGGTCTATTCAGATTCTCTATTTCTTCTTGATTCAGTTTTGGGAGACTGTAAGAGTCTAAGAATTTATCCATTTCTTCTAGATTGTCCAATTTGTTGCTGTATAGTTTTTCATAGTATTCTCTTATAATTTTTTGTATTTCTGTTGTGTTCATTGTAATTTCTCCTCTTTCATTTCTTATTTTACTTATTTGAGGCTTCTCTTTATTTTCTTAGTGAGTCTGGCTAAAGGTTGTCAATTTTGTTTATATTCTCAAAGACCAAATCTCTGTTTCATTGATTCATTCTACTCTCTTTTTTGTTTCAATTTCATTACTTCTGTTCTAATTTTTATTATTTCTCTCCTTCTACTGACTTTGGGCTTTGTTTGTTCTTCTTTTTCTAATTCTATTAGGTGTAGTTTGAGATTGCTTATTTGAGATTTTTCTTGTTTGTCAAGCTGTGCTTTAATTTTTTTAATATCTGCTTGTCTTTTATAATTCTTAAATATTAGCTTAGGGTTTCTAAAATATTAATTTTAGTTGTCCTTTGTATATATTCTTTTTTTTTTTTAAAGATTGGCACCTAGGCTAACAACTGTTGCCAATCTTCCTTTTTTTTCTTTTTTTTTTTTTAAGGATTGGCACCTGGGCTAACAAGTGTTGCCGATCTTTTTTTTTTTTCTGCTTTATTTCCCAAACCGCCCCCCCCCCCCCCCGCCCTGTACATAGTTGTATATCTCAGTTGCAGGTCCTTCTAGTTGTGGGTGTATATATTCTGTACATAGTTAATGTAAAATACTATTTCCTGTAGGGTTTTCTGAATATTAATGGTAAGCATAATTGCAATCATATTACATCAGTACCAACAGTAAAATCAATGGGTAGAATGGATGTAAAATGTAAAAGTGTAAAATCTCTTGCCCATCTGTAGGGAACATGTAGAAACTATTTTTTTTTCTTTTTGCTGGTCAACCAAGTGCCATTTAATTGTGGTTCCAGGATACTAAATTTTAGTGAATCCACAGAGTTACTAGCATTTTGCTGGTTATCAAGGAATTACTTAAGTGATATAGAATATTTAGTTCCTAGGGTTCAGTCCACTCCAACTGCAGGAGGAGTATCCAGACAGAGGAACAGGCTGAGTGGAAACCCGATGCTCCACGTGGAGCCCATGCCCAGCCCAGTGACCTCCTTGTTAAAGATGGCTGAGGGCACATCTAGCAGTAAAAGCTGCCAAGCAGTAAGAAGTCTGGCTTACTCTGTGTCTAACTAAACTGCTATATTCTGCTTCAATGTGTAGGCCCATTTTATTAAAATCAATTTCAGGTGGATGTTTCTGAGATTAGACTGATGATAGAAGCTTGTGAAAAATAGAAAGGCCCAGTGGTGCAGAGGTTAAGTTCACATGTTCTGCTTTGGTGGCCCGGGGTTTGCCAGTTCGGATCCTGGGTGCAGACCTACACACTACTTATCAAGCCATGCTGTGGCAGGTGTCCTACATATAAAGTAGAGGAAGATGGGCACGGATGTTAGCTCAGGGCCAGTATTCCTCAGCAAAAGAGAGGAGAATTGGCAGAAGATATTAGCTCAGGGCTAATCTTCTTCAATAAATAAATAAATAAATAAATAAAAAATTTTTGGGGTGATCATTCTAAGAATGAAGATTGAAATGATGGAAGTGAGTTTTATTTTTTCAAACATCTTCATTATTATTATTATTATTATTATTATTTTGCTGAGGATGATTTGCTGGAGCTAATACCTGTTGCCAATCTTCCTCTTTTTGTATGTGAACCTCCACCACAGCATGGCCACTGAGAGATCGGTGGTGTGGGTTTGCACCTGGGAACCAAACCTGGACTGCTGAAGGGGAGCACACTGAATTTAACCACTAGGCCACCAGGGGTGGCCCTCTTCATTATTTCTAAAAATATAAAAGAATATTACAAACTTAAGGGAGCTTTATAACATGAACAGAGCCATTAGAAAAACAAAATTATGTGGCACATATAGACAATTAAGATATAGTTGTTAGAATCTCTATTATGATCTTGGATAATGTTTACAGTTTGATCAAGGTTATTGAACCTGGAAAATAATACTACATTTTTAAAATGTGGATTAATTTGTAAGAAGGATAAAGTCATTGAATGGTTTATCTAGCAGAAATAGTAGGTTTGCACAAATTCAAAACATTTCTTTAATCCTCCAATCATCATTTGTATGTTGATTGGCCCAAATAAGGGGAGTAATATATAGCAATGGGTTACAATAAAGAAATTGGCATTAGATAACACCACTATCCACAATTTTATCAGAAATGCGCTCTACTCATCCTCTACCCCATATCATGTTTTACTAAACGGGTCTTATAGCAATACATAGAGCCATAAAGATATAAATGCCACATTGTGATAGACATAATTGAACCTGAAAATATGTTAGTGCTAATGGCAAAATGATTCTATCAAATAAGGCCTAAGAAAAAAGAGAAATGTTGTCTTCCTACTTTTTACTAGTCAACGTGCTTGCACCAATTAAATAGTGCAAATGATAGTAATAATATATTTTTAAAGCCAGTTACTTTGTTAAACATTTTGCACATTCAATATACCTAGTGCCATTACTTACCAGGAATGAAACTATGCTCAGAAAAGTTGTTTTTTACAAAAGTCAAAGAATTAGCAAGTGGTAGATCCAGGATTCAATGCCAACTTTAATTATGATGATTATGAAAATAATAAAGTTAATAATTGTATGCTCTTTTACCTATATAAAGTTATATAAATGTAATGACTCATAGAATAATTGACCATAGAAAGATCTGAGAACATCAATTGAAGCAGACCTGCCAGGTTCAGCCTCGCTGGCATCTGCTGGATGACACGCTGCAGGGTTAGTAGCTAGTTCTGAAGAGTGTTGAGAAGTCTGCAGATTATTTGTTAAAACTAATGGTTCTCTTTGACTTTCAGCACACATCGTATCAGGAGATACATTCAGCCTGCTCTGTGCCCCCACTGCAAAAAATTAAACTGAATAATCGAACAAACCACACCTTAAATAAGAAAGAGATTCTTTTCTAAGATTGACAAATTATACTGAAAATGTATCAACTTTTCTCAACAAAAACTTTTTGGAAGGATCATTTCAAATATTTGTATCCTCTTTGTTCTAGATATATGTGGGGAATTTTAACATTGTGTTTCAGAGACTATTGTGATTTTCTTCTGCCACATTTAACATTATTATAATTCTGGTTGGAATAGATATTTGTACCAATTTAATTGCTTATGAAATTATAATTCTTTGGTCAAGATTTGTTAATAGAATTCTTATTTATTATTATTATTATTTATTATTATTTAGGTTGTTTATATACATATCTGATATTCCCAGTTCCTGAGCTCAGAGATTTTCTCTTAACCATCGACATAAAAAAATTCAGAATGCTTTCTCTTTTTCCTTCAAAATGGAAAACCCAAATGTGATGACTCTCCACTTACAATGAGTTCATTGTGCATTTATACAGGACACCAACCCTCATGGCAGCCAGTGATGTGCATCTCTTTCCACATTCCTGTGAAGTGACTTCTTTTTTTCTTTTTAAAGATTGGCACCTGAGCTAACAACTGTTGCCAATCTTCTTCTTTTTTTTCTTTCTTTCTGCCTTTTCTCCCCAAATCCCCCCAGTACATAGTTGTATATTTTAGTTGTGGGTTCTTCTAGTTGTGGCACGTGGGACGCCACCTCAGCGTGGCCTGATGAGCGGTGCCATGTCCGCACCCAGGATCCGACCCGGCGAAACCCTGGGCTGCTGCATCAGAGCGCGGGAACTCAACCACTCGGCCACGGGGCTGGCCCCAAGTGACTTCTCATTGGTAGCTTGAGAGCAACAAACCAAACAAATCAGGATTTTCCCTCCATCTGAGAGTTAGTTATTAAATATTGACCAGCACACTTCTGATTTTCAATTTCCTTCCGTCTGATCGTTCTGGGATACGGCAAAGCTGAGCATCAGAACTTGCATCCTAGTAGAAGCACCAGGCAAAGATACAGCAGAGCCACCTGGGTGCTGGTTGTTCATCCTTTCCCTAGGCAAGATTCTGACTTCTTAAAATCCTTATTTTTAAACTGCAACAAGAATATATACATTTTAAGTGGCATTTTATAAAGGAAAGGGACAAAATTGTAAGATAGCTATTATCTAAATGACTAAATATGATAATGTCAACTTTTATGGGCTTTACCAGTGAGGGAGCTTGTACGCTATGAGACAGAGGCCTTGAGTGAAGATTAGAGACCCTCTGCTCACTAATGTGATGTAAGGGAGGCAAATTATCTCTCTTTGCTCAGAAGAAAACTGCTGAGTGAAATTTGATGGACTTCAGGATTTCTTTCAAAAAGTTAATAGTGAATTCTGAAATCCAAGATGGATTTTTTCAGGTTGAAAAAAATTAACTCGAAGTATTTCACAAACGATTTCAGGTGTGTTTGGATTCAGTGTCTGTGCTGATTTCCACAGCTGACTCGCTCACCCGGCATGTGAGCGCACAGCCTCGGTTAGAGAGCCTCTCCATGCCTTCAGGGCTAAAGGCTAGAGTTTGTGAACATCCCTGGCTCACAGCTATTCACTGCCTGATAATCACTTTGTGGGAGGGGAAAGGAGGCATTAAGTACTTCAAATCATATGTGGCATAACTTTCCCTGGGCCAGGACTGCTGAGGAAGGTGCTTAGGATGCCAGCTGAACAAGAAGGATGTTAGAACAAAGACAGATTATAAGCAAATGCTATTACAGAAAATGACAATTAAGATGCTCTTAATTAGCATGTCATTTTGTATTTATCATCATAATGTTTGTTTTACAATGCTTTATTAAATCTGGGTTTATGACAAACAGTCTGCAGGCAGTGCATCCTGCTGTGCAACATATGGCGTTACACCTAATGAATATTAATGCTGTGAAGTATAAATGGTCTTTAGGGACAGTGCTGATGGCTGGGAAACTCCTGCATATGGCATTACTATTCAGAAAGGTTAACTTAGATGTTTTGCATCATATTTTTTCTCTCTCACTGTGACCTACTCTTTTGCCTCTGAAACCTCAAGTGTATATTCAAAAGTTAAAAATATTTGCCTTTTGGTATTATTATGCCTGCTCTTCTAAGTAGCCTTGCTCTGCTGTTTCTTACCACCACCTGACTTCTGGTGAGGCTTCTCTTCGTTTGCATTCTTCCCACCCAGATGAGTCTGTTACTCCAATAACCCACTGGCAACTGGACCAGATGTTTCCCTCCTGTAAGTGTACAGTGTCCCAAACTCTAATGTTTCTAAACTCAGTAACAGGTCCATTTTTAAAAACATTGTAATATATATACCCTACTCATTGTAATGTCTTTCTCCCACACTTCCCATCAAATGGAATTTTCAATAATTTCTAAATTACTTGAATGTTCCTAGTCAAAGAAACAAGGAAAAAGAAAGAGGATCAAACTCAGAAATTTTATAGTAAGAAGAGTATTTTGCTCCACATTATTATTTCAAAGCATGCCTTGGAATTCAACTTGTGTCATTATAAACCATGTCCAACCCAGAGTGGAGCAAAAACAATTCCAAAAATTGCTACTGTAGTTTTGCCCAACAATATACAAAATTTTGGAAAGAAAATTGAAAATAAGTCAATCATATCTCATTTTCTGTTTCAGGATTTTAGAGAGATATTATCAAAGACTCAATCATGAAATTATGTGATAATATTTGGGGGATATTTTTACAAACAATGAAAAATGTGTAGGCTGAAAATAAATGATTACAAATGGAACTGTGTCTGTCACTTTTCAAATAAATCTCCCTGTGTAACACTGCATTAAAACATGCTCCACCGTGCATCACGTAAAGTAGTGAGGTGCAAACCCCACCAACAAACACTCTAGAAAATAGTGAAGGTAACAGTCAACAGCCTGCAAATATTCTGGCGGTTTCTGCTCTTTTTCTCAAGATAATCATCGGCATCCTTCATTCTTTAGTTAATTCTTTTCAGAGACGCTGGAGATGGGGAGGGGAAGGAGTGGACTGCAAAACTTGATTTCAGCACCCAAAACTAGGAGTCATCTCTCAATCCCAAATAATATAGAAATAGCTTCCAGCTCATGATGAATAATGATGCTTTTACTATTTGTTAGTCATTTATGGTTTATATAGTATTTTATATATGCTAATTTAATTTTAACACTCATATGAAGTAAATTTTTAAAAGCATTCAAAGTGCATATGCTTTTATTTCTGATGCAGATACTGTAATATTGTATCACGTCCAGACCATGAACGGTGCCTCCAGGGAGCTGTCTCACGGAGGGCACACTGGAGGATCCAGTGGATCTCTCCTTCCCTTCATTTGGGGAGGGCATTGGTTGTTTCAGATTGAATCTTCGTCTGGAAGGTGCTGTTTCTATCACAACAACCCTTCTTACATTTATCCCCTGAGTTGTGTCGAGTCCTCATTTGATGGTGGTACACCAGAGAGAGAGAACCTCAAGGTCATGAACCAGAGGGAGAAGCTAGAGAGACTAAGTATAAGGAGTAATGCCTTCTTAACAAATCACATTGTATCCTGCCCAGAGTAGGATAGGGCGAAGCACATAACAGTGGTTGCCTGTGGTAGATAAGGCCAGAACAGCAACAGCACATAGAAGATGCAGGAAGGGCGAGTACAAAGGCAGTTCTCTTTGTCATACCTGAATGGTGACTTCTTTTTCTTTTCAACCAGATTCTTAGTACAGAACATTACACAATTCTGTGTAGACTAAAATATACAGAGCAATTATACAATGTTCTATACTAAGAAGCTCTTTCTATATAACATATATCAGAATCTACCATCTCACTTATTGTTGGTTTTTATTAAATAATCTAATGATATTTATAGTAACGTGTATTATCCTCATCTCCCAGAGTGTGCATTTAGTCATTTTAAGTAAACTCGCATTTTCATTTTTCTTCTCTTCCCGAATACATGGTAAAGCATCTCTCCTGATGTTGGGATAGACAGATTCCTGGGCAGAGTAAGTCATATCTGGCAGTGGTATTCTGCTGCCTGAATTGATAAAGCTAGAGGAACAACACCCCTTACCGAATTGTATTAAGGAGTTTTTTCCTAGGTATTTTGTTTGTTATAGTATCTTCAGTACTCATCCCGTTCAATCTGTTACCCTGTTGAGTTACTGTCTTGTGTTCATGCCAGTACTGGGCGTACTAGACGGAGACAATCCCTTCAGAACCTGCGTGTGGGGAAGCCAGTAACGTGAGGCAGCAGAAGGCGGCAGGCTGAGCGGAAGGCCCATCGCAGGCCCGCGGAGGCTGGAGGGCGCAGGGGCGGGGCCAGCAGGACTGTGACAGGGCCCCTCACAGGGCGATCTCGGAGCCTGCGAGCACCTGCTCCTCTTCACTGTGTTCAATGTGTGCACACGGTCCAGCTTTTATAGTTGTTGGTGGAAGCTTCTCAGTTTTTTTCTTGAAGGAGAATCCCTGCTTTTGTAGCTTTGTATGTGCTTAAAAAAAAAAAAAAGGAAACTTTTTTGTATTTTCTACATAGCCAAAAAATAAAGAATGGCTCCACCTTCATTCATTTCAGGGTAAATCCGCTAATGGCACAATTGAATAAGTAACAAAATTAAACAATTTTCCTGATGATTCTTTTAAAAACCACTATGCTCACTTCCCTTTAGTAACAGAACTGGTAGCAAATAATGGTACATCACTGCTTAAATCCTGAGTGGTAGTATTTTATTTTTCACTTTTGATTTCATTTGGTGACAGTGTTTTACGTTTAATAGTACCAAGTTCAACTCATTTCTAGATAATAACACTCTATTGGGAAATTATATTTCGAAAATCTCTACTTGTGATTATATGTAACTGCTAGAATAGCTCCCTGGGGGAAATGGAAGGGTGAGAAATACTTAGGACACTTAGATATCTGACCTTTTTTTATGCAGCTGCTGGAATGGAGCACTTTGGGGCTAAATGGATTAACAACACAAGACGGGTAGATCCAGATATCGCTGAAGATCAATGTCTTGCTCTCTAAAAATATTCACTATTTCCCGAAGTTTGACTTTCCACCCAGAAATTCTCACATACATATAATATGATGTGAAGACAGTTTTGTTATGTTTTGCTTGACAGATTACCAGGTATTAAATATTATACTGTGTATAATTAAC